TATTATGAATAGTAATTTAATAGTTACAGTTTAAATCATCATAATATTTTTTAAAAAATAATTAACATTTTAAATTAGAGTATCAATTTTATAGCAAAAATATTAAAGTAGGGTAAAAAGAAAAGTGATAGACAAGGCTTCTCTATTAATTCATATCTATATATTATTGATCAATCATGTAAAGATAAAAAAAATGAAAAGATCACGAAATTAAGTTAATTGATATTTAAGTGATAAAATAAGTATGACTTGGTTGTAAAATTTTTTATTGTTATTTAAATAATTAGTTTTTTCGGAAGGGGGGAAACTAGCATGAATTCTGTGCAATGCATGGGTTTGACAAAAAAAAAGTACTTTAAGTCAAAAACATTTACATAATAATAATTGTTATTATTTTTTATTGCAAAGTGCATAACAAAAAATGAGAGTTTACATCATATCATCTTATTATTTTAAATAATAATATTATCTTATTAGACTAAACAAATATTTGTTAACATATATTTTTAATAACAATTCAATAATGAATTTAAAAAAAAGAATGAAATTTTTAAATAATAATGTTGACTAATTAAAAAAAGTTATTATTTTCTACTCCAAAGCAATTTGTTGCTATATTTTGGAAGGTTCATTTGTTGACGGCAAAAACCATTGAATGAAACATTACTTAATTTATGCTTGAGATTAGCACAATTTTTTAAAATTAGTTTGTTATATTGACTATATAGAAGACGTGTTCCTTATGATTCCTTCAATTGATATGTGAAGTTTGATTTCATTGCAATAACATTTACGAAAGAAAAGACAATGAACATACTCCCTTTGGTCCTATTTATAGAGCAAAAAAAAAATAAAATTTTTTATCCTATTTATAAATTATGTCATTAAATTTTTATCATAAATTTTTTTTAACCTTTCACTAAATGTTGGAGAAAAAATATGTTATTTATTATTATTGCAACGTTAAAAACTTATTAAATGTTAAGACAAAATTAATAAGTGTTAAGATGTTTCTTGATACTGATAAAATATGTTAAAAGTGACTTATAAATAGAACCAGATGAATAAATGATAGATGGAGATTGGTTAAAAACTGAAATTTGTTCAAATTTCTTTGACACAAAAATATGTATTCATGTCTTTTGAGAAAGAGGTTCAATTATTGTTGTTCAAGCTGTAGCTTGAAAAATTTCTTTATAAACTACATTTATTGTAGGATTGATAGGTCTAAAATTTGAATAATGAATAAAAAGTTTTAGTTTGTCCTTTTATTTAACCCTTGAAAAAATAATATATAATTGCTCATGAGTGAATACTAAATTTGGCAAGTAAACTCCTGCTCTTAACAATATTTGTCTTTAACTTTTATTAATAATCATTGTAAATGATAGGACAACGGGAAATTGCCGTCAATGCATGTCAAAAGAAAGATTACCCTTGGAAGAATTTTGATTCACATGATGAATATAAACTTATTCTCTCAAATTTGATCCATTAAGAATTATTCTTTTTTATAAAGTGGCCTGTCAACAAGGTGATTTTTAACCTTGTTCTATTTCAAAGTTCATTAATTTAATTTATATTTTCTTACTGAAAAAAACAAGAAGAGGTGAATTTATAATTTTAAAAATTTTAAAAATTATGTTTTTATTGACGGACTGGTAAAATTACAACCTACGCATGATATGGGCTATGCCAATCCATCTTACCAAACACACAATCCATTGTGGATCGACCTGCGACATGTGGGTTGACTCATTACCAACTATACTTGCAAACTGGGGTGAGTGAGACCTCATTCTCCATGAAAGTGCGAAAGGCCTAAAACAAATCAGCTTCCATAAAAGCACGATGCAAGAACAAATATCGGGGATCGAGTCATCGAGGCCTCCTGAATCCTGGGTGGATGATATGATTGACCTCATTTCTTTATGAAACTTGGTTGGCACTGTCCTCATAGTGGGTTGCCCAGGTCGCCAGCATGCACGGCATCGAAGGATCAAATCAAAGTTTGATTAGATTAAATACGGGTGAAATTATCTTTACTGAAACGTGTACGATAATGCTGGGTCAAAAAAGGCCAAAAAGCAAAAACCAAAGATATTGTGGGGTCATTTAGATTTGTTCAAAATTTAAAAGACTGTTGGCCATGGTCACATTAGATTAGATTATCACGAGGGACCATTTTAACCACACCGGGCCAATTAGCAGGCAGATAGTCATGATCAAGAAGTTGGTTAGGAAGCAAATTTGCGAAAGCAAAATTTAATCATTAATTAATTATTAATAATTATCCTTCAATTGTTAATCTAACGTCACGTTGAAGCCAAGAAGGAAGGTTTCGTTATTCTTAATTCAGTCCGCGCCACTGGCTGGCTCACGTTGGTTAAAATAACTGAACAAGCATTATACACAGGTCTTCTCAAATTATAAAATATTTTGAATTGTTGAACAAAATAGATCTTAAATTCTTGCTTGAAAAGTACTTAGATCCTAACTCTTATGAAATGTGCAAAATAAATTATAAACTTTTAAATTTATAACAAATTAAATTCTATCATTTTTTTTAACACTGTTATTGTTTATTGTGACTATTTATTGTGGGCCTCAATTAATACCACATATCCTAAACTATTACGTGAATAGAATTTTAAAATTTTGAGTAAATTTCTTCCACTGTTTATGTATATTAGGACTGTGCAAAAGTCTCCCAGTCCTGTCTGGTCCAGTCCAACCCGAGATGGTCTCAGTCTTGTTCGGTCTGTATAGTCACTGGTCCTTCAGGACCAAAAGGACTAAAAAGACCAGACTATTTTTTCGGGTTGGACTGGACAAGAGACCAGGCATCCGGACCACTTGGTCCAGTCCAGTCCTATTAATTTTTTTTATTATAATTATAATTAATTTATTTTTGACAAATGTTTAAAGTGTAATTGATGCTAAGGAGATGATTGCATAAAAATTTATTAAGTTTGTTTCTAAATTGTTATTGTAATATAGTGTTGTTGAATTTTTTGAGTACTATTTTTATTAAAGTTTATAAATTTAAATAATTTAGACTATAACAAAAATATTTTTTTTCTTATTGTTAGAAATTATTATGGATTTATTATTATTATAAGTATTTTTACTATCTTAATTGAGTTTATTATGTTGGAATGGATTATTGCCTCTCATAGAATAAAAAGAGGAAAAAAAAGCTAAGTGAGTACCAGACTGACAGGACCAGTCTCCCAGTCCTATGGACCAAGTCCGGTCCTGTTAATCTTCGGGTTATCACTGGACAAGACTGGACTACGGGTTGCCTAACCCAGTCTTTTTCATGAAAGAGACCGGACTTCGGGTTAGGGTGAAGTCCAGTGCCGTCCAGTCCTTTGTGCAGCCCTAATGTATATCAAATTAGTCTCAGCATAATTTGTCACGGTGAATACATTTATGGCCATAGCAAATGAACCATACTTTTATAAAATTACTTTTTTGCCCCTTTTTGGGAATATTGTTTAAATAATTGGTATCTCATACTTCTGTATATTTTATAACTCTGATTTAATTTTATTTTAAATAACATTTATTTATTTAATGGTGAGAGCTTGGGATCTTATTTGCAAAAAAGTTTAAGTATTATAAGATTTTACGGAAGCATGAAATACCAATCATTTAAAAAATATTGCAAAAAAAAAGATAAAAAAATTATTTTATAAAATTATGGATTGTTTGCCACGGCGAATGATACATTCACCACGGCAAACCACGCTGAGACTAATTTAATTTATACAATGGTTAACGTTTTATATATAAATAGTGGGAATAATTTGCTCAAATTTTTAAAGTTAAGGGTCTAAGATGCTATTCATGTAATAATTTAGGGTTTCTGATGCTAATTAACTAGGACCCATGATAAATGATAATGGCATTAAAAAAGAAAAAGTTAAGGTTCAATTTGCTATGAATTTAAAAGTTTAAAATTTATTTTGTATATTTTAAGAGTTCAGAGTCCATGGTACTTTTTGAGTAAGAGTTTAGAATTTATTTTACTCATTTAACTCAAATATTTTTAGATAAAATTTTATATATCAATGAATTTTAATAAATACACTTAATAATCTTTTTTTAAAAAACAAAAACATATATTTTTAAAAATACTTTCTATTTAATATATTAATAAGAGGGAAACGAAGATTAAATAAAAAAAAAGGTAATAATACATTGAGATAGACTTGTTCAATGAAATTTTTTAAAATATTTTATAACTTGAAAGCTAAATCTTTTTTAGAAGAATGTATCTCATAGGAAGTTCATAATATATATTCCTTCAATTCTAAATATTAATCATTTTTTGCCAAAATATATTAATTATTTTTTAAAGATATAATTTGATTTATTTTATAAATTATTAGTTGATGAGATTGTTTTATTTTAAATTAAAATTTTTAAATTATTTTTAAAAAGTAAGAGGGAGAATGACAGAAAAAATAATATTATATTATTTATTTTTTTATTTTTCAGTTGAATATTATATTTAAAATTTTATTTATTTTTATATTTATATTTTTATTATATTAATATTAATAAAATTGGTAAAAATAATTTATAAATATAATTTAAGCAGAGTTTTTAGTGTGCAAATAAATTCACATCACAAGTATGTTGTGAACGGCGCCGTTCTGTCCACGCAACTCAACCAGCCTCATCCTCCCTCCTGTCCTGTTCCATCTCTGAGCTCAGAAGAGGAAAAGCACAGCCAGTGCCAAGAGATGACAGAAAAATTCAGGGACTGAGTAGTTTTGTTATAGGAATCGTTGAGTAATTTTTGACTTTTCAATGTATACTCTATCATTCTACATTTAGAGGAAATCTCAGCAGTGACTGGGCTCGGCGGGAAGAGCTCAGGGTCTCACAGAGCAAGCCTATGGCGGAACAAAAGAACCGGTGGAGTTGGGATGTGGGTGGGTTCGAGCCATGGAAGTCGTCGCCTCCGCCTTCATTTGGCCGTGACGATCGGATACCTACTTCACCGTTGACGAGGAGGTACTCCATCTCGACGTCCTCGGTTCTTCCACATTCCGAGCTCTCCAGACTCTCCATGGCATCCAAGGTCCAGCGATTGAGAGATAAAGTCAAGGTAATGTGTTTTCTTTCCATGTATAGAGTGTCGTTCTTATTTCTCTTGTTCAAATATGAAGGCTTACTTTTGGGGAGAGGTTTCTGTTGTTCCTACTTCAATGCCATTGTTCTTATGGCAGTGCCTGTATTCATGAGATGTGGTGGTTATCAGTGATGATAAGAGGAGACTTCCGGTTTCATATATATGATTACTACGGTGAGGAATTTGGACTGCATGCTGCGAGTTAGTTTTAGCTTTACCTTCCACTAGGTGCGATGTAATATCTGGGTAATGTCGGTTCCGCGCCAACGAAATTATTCTGAGAAATTAGTGTGCATTAGATGATGGAATTCTGGGACCGTGCCACTTCCACTTGCATGCAAACAGTGTTGGGCGGCGGGATGTGGAAGGTAGACAGTAAGGAATGAAGATATCCTCTGCCATCAATTCTCATGGAATGCTTAATAAAGTCAGCGTCATAGCATTTTGTATGCAATTTTAGGTGCTGACTCTTTCAGCAATTGCATGTACGTATAAGATTCAGTACTATAGTTATTTTATTTATTTATTAATTATTAATTTCACTTGGGATTCAGTCTTGTGCTGGCTAGAAGAGGCTACTTTTGAATATCTTTTATGCTATCAAAATTACAAGTGTATTCTTACAAGCAACTCGTATTGCTTTGAATGGTTGTTTTGACATGTGTCCTAGCAGATCGTTTGTGGATCATGCTATATTTATGTCTAGTTTAACAATCACATCAGATATTTTGCACAGCTTGCTAGAGAAGACTACTTGCAGTTGAGACAAGAAATGGGTGAACTTCAGGAATATTCCAATGCAAAGCTTGATCGAGTTACTCGATATCTTGGTGTCCTTTCTGGCAAAACCCGCAAGCTAGGTAAGAATTTATTTGCCACAGCTAAAGTTTTGTGGTAGACACACAGAAGTTTTTAGGATTAATCTTTTTTCCTGTCAAGTCTTGTGTTTGATTTGGTCATTTGATTTCAGTGGCAGCATAAAGTTGTTCTGTAAAGTTATGTTTCAAGTCATTTTTCCCTCCTAAATGGTTGAATCTTAATGTTATGTGGAAATAAATGTGGCGGTTTAATCTTTCAGATATATTTTTTTCCTTATGTGGAGGAAGTTGTGTGAAAATTAAAAGTTCTTACGTTGATCTCATCTGTTCTTAGAATAGCTATTCTGCTGATGTTTTTCTGTTAATTTTTTTATTCTGTGTTCCTTATGTGAATATTAGACCAAGCTGCCCTTGAAACTGAAGCAAGAATATCGCTGTTGATAAATGAGAAGAGGAGATTATTCAACGACTTATTGACATCTAAAGGTAATTGCTATCTAGGAGTTGTCCTTTATTAGTGGTAACGTCCCTATATTTACTTTTTCTTTGTTTGACGGATTTTACTTTTCACGATGTCATGTATTACCTGGAACTTAAGGTAAGTGGATAATGGAATTTTTATATTTTACCTATGTCCAAATATATAACTTCACTCAGCTGAAAGTATCTATATAACTACAAAAATGAATAGTAATATCATTATTTGCAGGAAACATTCGTATATTTTGCCGTGCAAGACCTTTGTTTGAATATGAAGGGCCCTCAGCTGTTGAATTTCCAGATGACTGTACCATCCGTGTAAATACTGGTGATGAATCGTTGTCCAACTCCAAGAAAGATTTTGAACTTGATCGAGTGTATGGGCCTCATGTTGGACAAGGTGGTATCATCTTGTCTTTTATTACTATCATTTTTGTTTGCAAACCCTGGTGAAGTTGTGTTTTTGTGTATGTAACCTTTTTTGTTCTATTTACAGCCGAATTGTTTAGTGACGTTCAGCCTCTGGTACAGTCAGCTTTGGATGGATATAATGTTTCATTATTTGCTTATGGACAAACCCACTCTGGAAAGGCACACACAATGGTTGTTTTTTTCTTTCTATCTTTCTTTCGCTCAGTCTCTGTGCAGATCACTGCCCCTCCCTTTCAAAAGTGAAAAAAAGCTGGATGAGGCTCTTGAATTCAATGTTGACTTGACGGTTGTTATGACCATTATATGATAAATTATTTTCTAAACGCTCTTTTACTTCTTGATACAATAATTTTTGCCTCATGAATTGCTTATTGATGTCATTCTTCTTTTGCAGGAAGGATCTAGCTATGATCGAGGTTTGTATGCTCGTTGTTTTGAAGAATTGTTTGATTTAGCCAACTCAGATTCCACTTGCACTTCTCTATATGAATTCTCTGTTACAGTTTTTGAGCTCTATAATGAACAGGTCTCTTTCTCTTGTCACCTGGGACTTTCTCCTTTCCTTTTCCTTATTCTTTTTTTTTATTGTGGTTTGGTTCTTTCTTTCTTTTTTTTCCCTCCTGAGATAGGATTGTCAAGGCTTTCATGGTTTTTTCTCGTGTGCTTGCAGACCAGGGACCTGCTACTGGATATGGGGAAAAGCATGCCCAAGCTTTACTTAGGATCGACAGAATGTTCTGTTGAACTGGTGCAGCAAAAAGTTAATAACCCTGTGGAGTTTTCTAGGGCATTGAAAGCTGCATTTGAGAGTCGTGGAAATGATGTATTGAAGTCTAATGTCTCTCATTTGTATGGTCCGAGTTCCCTGCCCGCATTATTGATGATTGAAGTATACTGTGACTTTATTTTTCCTGTTTTACATTGCATGGTAAACATCTATGTAACATGCTTTCACCAGCATAACTTTTGGCAATACTGCAATAATATAAACAAAGGCTGACCTGTTCTTTACCAGCTTTGTCTGTTGCTGTTCAATGCAGGTGCGTTAAACTTATAGCAAAATTATTAGGAATTTTTGGTCTGTTGGTCCTAATCTGCCTTATTAAATATTTTTGGCTTTGGCTTGCTTTTGATTAGACCAAGCCAATTAGTGAAGTTCTCTTGACCCAATTGCTAGGTATGGGACTTGAGCCCCACATTGGAAGTTTGGGATTCTATTGTGAAATTTATATGAACTTTGGGCTCTCCAACCCCATGAATTAGTGATGGGGTATTAAAGCTTTCCACTATTTCCAGCTGCAATTGTGCTACTTAGATGGTGATATTGGTATTACAACGTTAGCCTGAGGCTAGAAAGCTAGCACAAAACCTGCTCGTATGGTTTTGTGGACCATTAAGCATGGTGGAATATTAGGACCCACTGTCAGGTATAGGACTTTGAGTCAGACATTGTCACATTGGTAATATGGGATTCCAATGTGGGATTTATGTGGATCTTGGGCTCTTCAAACCTTACGAGCTGGCTTTTAGATTATGTCTCTCCCAAAAGTCTGGGTCAATTGGTTCCTGTTGTATTTAGAAGCAATCAACTGTTTATATGAAAAAGATTCAGAGCAGCACTACTAGAAAAAAAAAAAAAATGCAGCAATAAAACACTGTAAAGCAAATTTGAAATGGGCAAAGGAATGCAATAAAGATAAATACTAGGCCTTTGACTTGCAAGCTATCTCTCTCCAAGATGCCCCGATTATTTCCTTCTTCCTTATCCAGCCATCCCCTCTCCGTCTTCTCCCATTTTATCCCCAAAAGAGCCTCTCTAAATGAATTTATTAGCCTCACTTGTCTATCTTCCATTTGTTCCCTACTTCCATACTTGCTGTCAAGTTTAGTTACATAAACTTCCACGCCACCTACTTTTCTCTTACTCCCCTGTCTATATCTTCTAGAAAACACTCTAATCACTGGGACCCATTGGGTATCCTTCCTCTTCTGCATGTTTTTGATTTTATTAAATAGGAGATATGGATAATCTGAGTTTGTACATTTCAAGTACATTTGAACTGGATCATTTTCTTGGTTTCATTAAGGTGTTACGGATTTGATGTTCCCAAGGTAATTTGATGAGTCTGGTTAACTTTTATTTTTATTTTTAATTTGTCTACCTGCCTTCACTTTTCCTTTGAAGACCATGGTATCCTTTTCTCTCATTTCTCATTCATTCATGAGACATGATATCTTTTTTGGGTTAAAAACATTTAAGAATGCTTAACAAAACAAATTATCGGTATTGTTGGAAACATGGAAATAATGTTAAAGATAAATTACATCTTAATCTTAATGTTAACTAGAAGCAGTTTTTGTATTTTATTACACAAAAGGTTGTAACCTAGTCTCTAATCTTTGTAATGTTTATGTGAGTGCTCACACTAATTCAGTCATATGGATTTCATGTTCTACCTTGACAGGATTGTCACCGTACACATTTTATGTAAGAATTTGATCACTGATGAAAACTCATATAGCAAACTTTCTCTTGTTGACTTGGCTGGAAGTGAAGGTTTAATAACAGAAGATGATAGTGGGGAACGTGTGACAGATTTGCTTCATGTTATGAAGTCACTTTCAGCGTATGCCTCTTTTCCCTGTCTCCTTTTTTAGGTGAATTCAGCATGTTGTTTTAGTTCATTAATTTTCTTTTCATTATTTGCCTGCTTGAAACTTAACCAGGGGAATGTCTAGCCTATTATCAGGCATGTTAATTCGCTTATGCTTCTTTTATGTTACCTTTAGTTATTTTGTGGTGTTATTTTTACTAAGTTCGGCAATGTTCTTTTAATATCTCTGATTCTGCTTGGGGAAACATTACTTTAAATAGTTGGTTGTTGATAACTAGTTGTGGTTGTGTTTCTCTTGAGGCAGTAAAAGGTATTGCTTTTTATCATAAATCTGAAACTCACTTCCAGTTTTGATCTTCCTGTCCTCTCTGTTCCCATATGCTTATCTGTCTGATTTCTTGTTAAAGTTACTGCTGTGTTTTTGTGTTAAAAATTTCTTTACTTAACATGTTGCTGTATTTTAACATGTTGCTGCAGTTTGGGAGATGTTCTGTCTTCTTTGACATCGAAGAAGGATGTCATTCCATATGAAAATTCAGTGCTAACAGGATTGCTTGCTGATTCACTTGGTATTAATTTTCTCATTTCTTCTGTTATGTATATTCTTATGGTAGCATTTGTCTGAGTAATTAGAAAAAACTTTATTGTTGTAAAGGGAACAACAAAAGTTTGTCTGTAACCATTACGATGCCAATGCATTCACAATTTTTACATGGAGCAAATGAACTATCAAATATCAAGCCATTACATAATTATTTTGCCCTTTTTCTGTAATTCATATTATTCTTGTGATGGGATTTTTTTTTAAATTAATCCACATTGGGTTAAGATAATTCTGTTAGTACTAAATTTTTAACCATCATTTTTAGAAAGCAGTAATTTATTCAGGACAAGTAAAAGGGAAATCTAGCCAGACTCTGGATCATCGAGGATTTATACTGTGGAACTTGCATCTTCCAGTCCACCATTAGGGTATACTGTTTAGCCTAATATGGTGCTGCCGTGCCAGTAAATTGAGGGGTTCATCTCTTGAAGCTTTGACAATTGTGAACTATACTTAGCCAAAGTTTCCTGTATCCTACCCTGTGTATGGTAGACAATCTTGGGTATAAATGTAAAGTGGCATTGAGATGATTTACTTGTATCTATCATCAATAATTATGGTTTCCATTTTCCCTTGCTGCCAAGAGAATTGATTCAATGGGATTATACTTGTCAAGTTTTCAAGATTTGAATAGTTCTCAGATTGGTTCCAGATACAATATTTCAATTCTTTTACGTGCAATTTTTTTTTATTATTACAGGTGGGAGTTCAAAAACTCTTATGATTGTAAACGTGTGTCCAAATCTTTCAAATTTATCTGAGACTTTATCATCTCTCAATTTCTCTGCTAGAGCTCGACATTCTGTATTAAGCCTAGGAAATCGAGATGCTATAAAGAAGTGGAGAGATATTGTAAGTTCTTCTTCAACCCTTTCCCTTCTTTGGAAATGGATTTTATTTTCAACTTGTAGCCATCTTTGATCTGTTCTATATTCATCAGTTTGAGGATTTGTGGCAGCAACTTAAAATCTTTATTTTTAGAAGTTGAAGTCATAACTTTATGTTGATAGGCATGTTGTGGTGTGGACCAACCCCATCTTGGGACTCATTAAGACTGAACTAGGATTTGTTTTGAGTAAAGATAGAAAGCTGTATACATACATAATGTAAGGGCTATTCATATCTGGTTTGGCATTGATCCCTTCTGAGTTCTGACAAGGTCCTTCACGATGACAGTTTTCTATTTCCCATTATAAGATCTGAATTTACTTTGCTGTGGTTATTATAGGCAAATGATGCACGCAAAGAGTTGTATGAGAAGGAGAAAGAAATCCATGATCTGAAACATGAGGGACTGGAGCTTAAGCAATCAATTAAAGATGCTAATGATCAGTGTGTCTTACTATTCAATGAAGTGCAGAAAGCACGGAAAATTTCTTCTGCATTGCAGACAGATTTAAAGGTGGTTTGGGATAGCTTTTGAATTCTATCTATGGCTTTTTTATTGATTTTATAATTTTTCTTACTCTGCATGGCATGCTTGAATTATGCTGGTCTTTTGGGTAGTTCCATGTTAATTTCATGCTACATAATGTTAGAAGGAGAAAATTTATGCTGCAACTGAGTATCTTGAGTGGTTATTTTACAGCCAGAGATTGTAACAACTGTCAGGTCCACCGTGTGTATTAAGTGATATTTATTTAAGTCATCAGGATTCAGGATGGATATTAATTATCTTGTCTACTTCATCTTGACCCATCATGTTTCTTTTTCTTTCTTTTTTTTTTACTCCAAAAATTAGTGCCATATATAATTTGTTGAGACTTGAAAATAGATACTTTACTCCATGAGAAATGACCCATGTGATTCTTTGCAAACTGTACAAACCCTGTGTCAATACTTGATTGTGAGCTCTGAACATAAGATGATGCTTAAGTGCAGCTTGTTGATGAGCAATTTATTGTTTTTATGTGCTGCAGTCAGAGCATATTATGCTAGCAGATCAGCATAAGATTGAGAAGGAACAAAATTCCCTGCTAGGAAGTCAAGTTGCTCAGCTGTTACAGTTGGAACAAGATCAAAAATTGCAGATCCAACAGCAAGATTCAACCATCCAAAGTTGCAGGTTGTGTATGATATTTGACACAATATATTCTATGTAGTTCAGTAGTTCCTGATTTGTTTGTCAAGTTCTATTTGTTTAGCATGTTAACAAGTGCTTCTATGTTCTATTTTGAAGCTAAAAACATTGATGATACAAAGAAGGATATTACCTTTTTAAGTGAGATAAATATAAAAATTACTTATTTTTTTAATTTTTTTTTTCTGGGATTCTTTGCCTTGTATGTGATAATGAGATAGAATGGAAAGGCAAGGAGTGCAAAAATAGTTGTGTGCCATTCCTTTGTTTGAGAGTTTAACAAGGTAAGGGAGAGAGTCACTAATGGACTGAAATGACTTATAAATTGTTTTTCTTACTCTTAATCCCTTTAAGCAAGAGCTTGATTCAAGGAAGATTTTAGTGAAAGAGGATTTAATTGTAATAGAGTGGTAGAATATTACTACATTGTGACTCAAAAGTTCCTAGATCAACCCAGGCTTTGATACCATGTAAAGCTTTTTGAGAAAGATAATGGGAGAATGTGTTGGGTGATTTGCCCATATGGCAGATATCTTTTTGCAAACAATGAAGAATACATAGGTATGATGATAACACAAAATTACAATGAACCTAGCCAAAAGTGAATCTAGATGCTATACATTACTATATACAGCATAGTAATTTTCTACTAGTCTAACAATGATCAGATCACCTATCCATTCCATTCCTTCCTAAACCCCCCAGTCTCGAGGAATACAGGTTTTGGATGCCATGGTGGTGTCTTGGATTCCTTCTTTTGTCATTCCATTTCATCCTTAACAAAAAACTCCCATGCAATAGTGTATCCATTTTGCCTATTCCATTCCATCCCTTGCCATCCATCTAAGCACACGATTAGCTCAATCAGCAATTTCTTTCTGCATGTTTGCCGGGTTATCCAAGTATTCTCTGTTCTACATTCATGCAGGATAAGATTAAAGCCCTTGAAAGACAATTACATGAAGCCATTAAATCCAGTGAAGATAGATCAACATTTGTCACTGAGCCAGAATCTGGAGCTTCATCCAATTCTAAAGCAGCTGGTGATGGTGTGGATTCTTCTGCTGTAACCAGGAAACTGGAAGAGGAACTCAAGAAACGTGATGCTCTGATTGAGGTTTGCCATACTTGACAAGTTTGATTGCAGTAGCCTTCCATTTCCTATTGGATAAATGGTTTGCTTTTGTCTAATTTTGCAGAATATGTAGTTTAGCTAAGTACACGCCTATCATAACACCATAGCAATAGTTTTGTACATCTTTTTGGCACAAAATAGTGAACAGAAAGGGGTGCATTTTGAGTACAGTTGAAACAATGAAGTCGGACCTCTGATTCAAAAAAACAATGAAGTCTATAAAAGTGTTGAAATGAGGATATATTTGAATAAATGTCTGGTCAGCTTGTGGGTTGACTATTTCTAATTAGGGGAAATTATCTGTGTGACCATATCATCTGGGACCTATTCATACATGCATTGGGGGAAAAAGTGAGGATAGCTAAAAATGCAACCAAGAAGTATTGTCTTGACACTTTGGTTTGTATCTTCTAGTAAACTTTCTAGGTTGTAAATGTTTGCATAGTTATGCCCAAGTAGGGACCATTCATCAAAACAGATGCAATCTGTAAGTTCTTAATTTTTATGTTGGTAAATTATGTAATTATTTGGGATTTTGATATGGTTACTATAATCTCATTATCTTTCGCTAACAAGCCTAATTTGCTGTTTTGCAGAGGTTGCATAAAGAAAATGAGAAATTGTTTGATAGGTTTACTGGGAAATCATCTTTGGGCGGGTCACCTCAGGTAGACAAACTTCATACAGGAATAACTTGGGCAACCATTACATCAATCTGCATTGTATGAAGAAGATTGTTCTTTTTCTTTCCCTCTTTTTTTTGTTAAATGTTTTTTTATGCATTTTAGCTTGTACTCCCTTCGATTTTATTTATAAGTTACTTCTAACTACTTTACCAAAATCAAGAAAAGGTAATTAAATTATTGATATTGTCTAAAAAAGAAAGAAATTTCTTTAAAAACAGTTTCTCTCTCTAGCAATTTTTTACTTTCTACTCATAGAAAATTGTGAAAAGGGTAAAATTGAAAGAAAGTAATTAACGATCCACTTTTTAATGCAAATTGGCTTATAAAAAGGACCATGAATTGCTTCTAGAAGGCGACATACATATAGGACTGGAGGGAGTATAATACAATATTATCCATCGATTGTGCATGCATTCCCAAGAACTGAAACAGAATGGCCAAGAAATGTTACTATTTGATATGAAGCTGTTAATTAGTAGACTGGTTTCTTTCTGTATGAATCTAACAGGAGAGGTTGTTATTTCTGATTTTATGAAGGTTTGCATGGTTTCCCTGAATCAGCATCTTATGGTAACATATACCTGAAACTGGGATAGATAACCAAACAAAATTGCACTGCCATTAGTTTTTATATTGATAGTCATGCATCTGAGGTCTATGCGGTGATTCTGGATCTTAAAATTTTTTTCACTTTATCTTCAGTTGTCAAGTCCATTATCCATGGGATCAGATAATGCTCAGCCTCAAGATATAGGGAGGTATAATTCTATTATATTTCTTGTAAATCTGTTACTTCTCTTTTGTCTATAAGCATTTGATTATTGGCTTTATTCTTTTTGGCATGGCACAGGACTAAGATCAGTAACAATACTAGAGCTCGATCTGTGGATGCTCTTCCTTCACCTTTGACCATAGAAAAGAATGACGGCACAGTTTCTTTGGTGAAATCTGATCCTAAGAAAGTTAAGTCAACCCCAGCAGGTGAATATCTAAATGCTGCACTGAATGACTTCGATCCTGATCAGTATGAAGGCCTTGCTGCCATTTCTGATGGTGCGAACAAGCTATTGATGCTGGTATGCAGGGTGCACGATTTATTGTTTAGTTGGCTGAAACGATGTATTCTTACATGCAGAAATGTTGCCCTTTTCATTTTATGCTGTTTTATCCCAGCTGGGGGAGGGTTATTGCTTTCAAAATCCTGATCTTTCACGTATTATTTCAAAATTTTTCCTCTATTTTTGTGTGAAACGTTAGAAATTCTGTAACTTCTGAATTTTAATATTTTTCTCACATGACAATATAAAATGACAAGGATGCTTCAAAAAGTTTTGTCTGACTTTTAGTGAGTTTGATGACCTTGCATCTTTATAAATTGCCTTGACCAAGTTCAAATTGCAGCATAATAATATTCACTTCAGGCTTGAAATTTATTAGGTGCATTCTTTAAAATGTCAGGTTCTGGCTGCCGTCATCAAAGCTGGTGCCTCTAGAGAACATGAGATACTTGCTGAAATTAGGGATGCTGTTTTCTATTTTATCCGGAAAATGGAACCAAAAAGAGTAATGGACACCATGCTTGTTTCCCGAGTCAGAATCCTGTATATAAGATCTTTGCTTGCAAAATCCCCAGAGTTACAATCAATTAAGGTGATGAACAAGTGGAGTTTTTTCTTTTTCATGTTCTGATGTGGTTTTCACACAGTATGTTTTTTTTAGTTTTATTCTAGGGCATTTCTGACGTTTAACTTGGTCATACTTGCCTGTTGATTTGGAAGGTCTTGGCAGTTGAGTGCTTCCTAGAAAAAGCTAATACTGGACGCAGTAGAAGTTCCAGCAGGGCAAGCAGTCCTGGAAGATGTCCGGTGCAATATTTTGATGAGCAAATTCAAGGATTTAAAGTGAATCTAAAGCCAGAGAAGAAATCCAAATTTTCAACTGTTGTATTGAAGATACGCGGAATTGATCAGGTAGATGCCCTTATGATCTTTTCAAACTTTTCACTGCACTTGTAAAACATACAGAAGACCTCAAGGTCAATTAGACTGGAATACAAGACTATTAAGGAAAGAAGATGCACTCTCCTGGGACTTCCTTTTGAACTTGAACTCCGTCGAAGAGTAACTATTTTCAATCTCATCAAAATTTGATGATCTATCACTCATTCTTGTAATTCATGATTTCTTTTTTTTTTCCTGTATTTCTTTTCTGGCACTATACTGGCCGGGAATCTTCATTGTTTGAACTTTAGGGTCCTATAGATTTGTCTTTCTTTCACCTTGCTCTCTATGCAATTTTTATCGGGGAATTATGTACAGGAGACCTGGAGACAGCAGGTAACTGGTGGAAAGTTAAGGGAAATAACTGAGGAAGCCAGAAGTTTTGCAATTCAGAACAAGGCTCTTGCTGCACTATTTGTACATACTCCAGCAGGTGAGCTGCAGCGCCAAGTTAGATCCTGGCTTGCTGAGAACTTTGAATTTCTCTCTGTTAGTGGCAATGATGCATTGGGAGGGTCAACTGGTCAGTTGGAGCTTCTTTCCACCGCAATCATGGATGGTTGGATGGCTGGACTTGGTGCTGCACTGCCTCCTCAAACTGATGCTCTTGGGCAGCTTTTATTTGAATATACAAAACGTCTATATACTTCTCAACTGCAGCATTTGAAGGTTGGCCTAAAGTAAAATTATTCTTGATTGACTCTTCAGAATGAACTCACTAATCTTTTCTTGAATTCTTAAGGAAACCTTGAAGAGTTGCCTTCATCACATTTTATACAATTGTCTGCAGCTAGGTGTCACAAGGCATGCCTAATGAAAGGTCCAACCCACATATTTAATAATCATGGGAATACAATATTGAATTTAGAAATTTATTTAAATTGAGATATTCAGTGAAAACAGTCTAGGCATGATTCTTGAATGACTGGTTCAGGTTTGAATTTATTTTTAATCTAGTTATTTTCATTTTTCTTTTCTCTCATTTTTGAGGAAAATGAAATATGTTTTCACTGACCAGCTGACCTGAAAGTATACTTTACATAATTCTTGATTGAATGTTCATACACACACACACACACACACACACATCTATATATCTATATATATATATATTCTCCTGTTATGCTACCATCTACCTTATTTTTTTGACGTTATTATTGGAACCCAGTAATAGCCAAAAGTTGCTAATTAAATTGCGAAATTATTTTTCTACAAACCAGCCTTATGAAATGTTCTATTCAAGTTACTCAGTTACTGCCTTCAAGAGATCTTTAATTTACCATGGCTACTTGAATTTAATTAAATGGTGTTGATGTTTCTCCTTAAATGAAACATTCAGGACTCCTATTTCACTTGTTTCTTTTACTTAATTGAATAATATCTTGGGTATACTTTTGGACATTAATTTTCAGGATATTGCTGGTACCTTGGCTGCAGAAGAGGCGGAAGATGCAGGACAAGTATCCAAGTTGCGTTCAGCTCTTGAATCCGTTGATCACAAAAGAAGAAAGGTCATATATGCTTGTTTACCTGTAACTGTATTATATTAGCTTTTATTTGCCTATAAGAGTTCATCGTGAAATAAAGCATCAACTCATTTTTGAATGTATATTCTCAGTGCTTCTGGAGGGCATCTTTATATGGCTAAAGAGGAAGATATAAAATGCAAGAATTTCCCCTTTTGTTACTTTTTGGTAGCCAGAATCTGAAATCATAATTCATGGAAACTAAAGGGCCTTTATGCAGTCTTTGTTTTCACTTTGGTAAATTGTCAAGGAATATTTCTGATTAGCAAAAACAGGAAACTAAATTTTTTTTTTTTTTTTTAATGCATGCCTTAGGTAGACTCTCATTGTTGAAATTTAACTTTCATCACGTACTGATACAGAACTCATGGAGGCAAGTTATCGTATGTCTGAATGGCATTTTTTCAATAAGATCCAAGCTTTAAAGGTTGATTATTACACTGCAGCTCTCAATTAATAATCTTGGCTATTTTTTCTTACTTTTTAATTGATTTTCGCCCCCATGGCAAAGAGGAATACGTGTAAGATGATAAAATACCCTGCCATGGCTGTAGCCTATTAGTAGTGCTCATTCTGTAGCACTGCTGATATACTGAAATACCAGATCCTTGCTTTCCTACTAATGCGGCACAAGGGAAAGGAAATAACATTACTTAAGTCGTTCACTCCCTTCCAATCTGTTTTGAGTGTCGAAGAAACTCCTTGCTAGCTGAATACTAGAAATATAAAATCCCATTGTTATTGCATATCTTCTTGAAAATTCTAGTATTTTCGTCTTTCAGGATATTCGTAGATTCTTTTTCTTATAATGCTTATAAGGTCTTGAAAAATTTCTCATGTTGGCGTGTCTGTATTATCTCGGTGTAAAGAGTTAGGCTTCATTCAGTGAACTGTCTATGACTACTTATCATTGAGAATGCATGTCTCATAGTATTTGTTCAATTTCCATCCTTTATGAATTCTGTAGTTTATGTCCAGTGAAAACAAATGGGAAAAAAATTTCTAATGCGTTCCTTTTCTTCTTTTGATACAAGAATGTGTTCTTTTTCTTGCATGCGTTTCTACTGATCATCCTCCGCACTGCTTTCTTCGTCTAAATCAGATTTTGCAACAAATGAGAAGCGACGCCGCTTTATTGACATTGGATGATGGTGGTTCACCTATTCAAAATCCCTCTACCGCAGCTGAAGATGCACGATTAGCATCTCTCATTTCACTTGACGGCATGTTGAAAGAAATCAAGGTTCTAGTTTTCTTGTTCAAAATTGTTTTTAAAATTTGAGTTTAATGTTATCAGAATTTTAACTGGTTAGTTGAACAGGGTATGGCGATAAATTCTACGCTGAGTGCTGTGAGCAAAAGTAAGAAAAGGGCAATGCTTGCTTCTCTGGATGAATTGACACAACGGATGCCTTCGCTTCTTGAAATTGATCATCTATGCGCGGAGAGTCACATTGCAGGTGCTCGCGGCATGGTTGAGGTATGCAATGTGTTTACCTGTGGGGCTGGATTGTATTTTATATATATATATATGTAGTGGCGGGCCATGTGTCACACCCAATTTTGCAAAATTTTGATGTTATGTCCCTGAATCTCTTCAAACATTTGAACCTATTTGACCCATGAATGAATTTACTAGATACATAAGCAACTCTTTATTATTAGACACCTGGGTTTCATCTTTCGCCGTGTATTGTGAATCCTAAATCTCCCTTCTCTCTTGTCTAACAATGCAGTCGATTCCTGAAGTTGATGACAGCATTCAAGATCTATCGCATGCTCACAAGCCTTCAGCAGATCTGGGGTCTGGATCCGAAACTGTTGTGGCACAATGGAATGTCCTCCAATTTAACACAGGCACTTCCTCCACATTTATAATCAAATGTGGAGCAAATTCAAATTCAGAACTAGTCATAAAAGCGGATTCTCGAGTTCAAGAACCGAGAGGTGGTGAGATCGTGAGGGTTGCCCCTAGACCGTCAGTTTTGGAAAACATGAGCTTGGAGGAAATGAAACAAGTATTTGCCGAGTTACCTGAAGCTCTTAGCTTGCTTGCCTTAGCAAGGACAGCAGATGGAACCCGAGCACGGTATTCTAGACTTTACCGGACCTTGGCTATGAAGGTTCCATCCCTAAAGGATCTGGTTAGAGAGCTTGAAAAAGGGGGTGTGCTGAAAGATGTTAGAACATGACCCATAAAAGGGTAAGCTGATGGTGAAATTAATTATAGCTGTGTTGATGTTGTTTGGGGTTTGGTTGCGTGGCTTTGCAAGTCAGCCTGTTGCGTTTGCTAGATTATTTGGGGGACAATCCATATACATTGTAACAGTTATTCTGCCTACACGTGTTATTGTGTATTAGTGGTAGTTATTTCAGTTTTGCCTGGGAGTGATAATTAAGTCGATGTTTGTGTTTCTTAAGCAACCTGTAAATATGTTCATCAGATACAAATATGTTTGAATAGAAATCAAGTGCTCTATTGCTCCGGCGGAATATCAAAGATGATTGTCTGTACATGCATGCTGGTTATTGCTGATGAACGGGACATTGTTCTCCCAATTTAATATATACATTCATGCAATTTAGCGCGCAAGTCATAATTAGGTAGCAAATAGAAAAGAAGAAATTGAAGTTTCAGGAGAAGATTAGTAATTCCCATCTTTTTGGGCATTTTAACGATGGTGTTGCAACTTGCAAATTTATCGTTTGAATTTTTATTTTTTATTTTTAAAAAAAACTGATAGTGTTGCAACTTGCATGTATGCCCGATATTAAGTGAGAGTATTTGTTTGATTCAACATCATTGAAGATGTTCAAGTCAACGGGAAGAATTGCGAACCGAATGTTGGTGACTTTTCTTGCATTGTTATAGTGAGTACGTGGTATAAATAATAGAAAGTCAACTTTTTGAAAAGGTTTAATTTGTTTGTTTAACATTTTTTTCTAGAAAGTTGACATTATTTTTCAAAATAATATACTAATTTTTAAGGATATAAATTCCTTTGTTTTGGGTCAAGGGAATTTAATTATGAAGATATTTTTAAAGCATCAATACTTAACATTTATAAAATACTTCTTTTCAGTGTGATACTTGAAAAGATTGTCCCTAAATTTTATATTATGAAACTTTTAGTTTCTTAAATTGAAAAATAATTTTGTGGATTAAAATATATTTTATATCCTTAAATATAAAAACACTGAATAAAAATTGTTAGTATATATTGTTTTTTATTTAATAACAAAAATTCTCTTCTCAAGGTCAACCCAAGATGCTGTGGAGCCGTTACATGGAAACAATGATGTGAGTATCAATTTATAGCAAGGGCCATTGTAACAAGTTATGAATAATATGAGCTGTTTCAAACTCCATGCCAAGCCTCCTAGCATTTTGGCTTGTGTTTGGGGAAAACTATGATAAACAATCTTAAGAATTTATGTTTGATTAAAAGTCAAATCCTTTTCAGAAATTGACGTTCAAATCTCAACCCACATTTGGTATTATTGGTGTAAAAATCGTTTAAGTGTGCCAAAGACTAGAAATGATTTCAATGTATTTGTAACTTCTATAAAATGAAACAGGCTCTTAAATTCTCTTATTGCAATTTTTCCAAATACTAAACTAGTCAATTCAAAATTTGACAAATTTATTCATCAAAAATACAAGTAAGCTTGACGTACCTCTTCTGTTCATTGCCTACATATTCCTTTTATTTCTATTTGTAGGGCATGAAAGTAAAATTTTTTTTGATTTCATTTATAAGTTATCTAATTAAATTTTTAATACAAATTTTTCTTTTTACCCTTTATTAAATATTGAAGAGAGAAAATATATTATTAAAGTATTTAAATTTAATAAGGATAAAGTTGAGAATTTATTAAATTTTAAGAAAAAGTTAATAAGTTTGATTTTTTATTCTAGTAAAATATATTAGAAGTGACTTAAATAAGACCACAAGAATATATAAAGCCTCGATACCTTGAATTTAAAAGTTAGACATTGAAAGACAGCTCAATAAAATTGGTAACTGTTCATTTTATTTTGTTAATTGTTAATTATCATAGGACAGAATGAGCATGAATAGTTTTTATTTTAGTAAATAAAAATAAAAATAAAAATTAAAAATATTAAATTTGAATTGTTCAATAATTAAAATGTATAAAAAAGGGACAATGGAGTGGATGCTTTGGTACCACATATTAACTTTAATATCTCAATTCATATAAATCAAATAAAATTCAAGTAAAGTAATGTGCGTACCTGAAAAATCCATAACTGATTGTAGTACCTCAATTACTTCAAGTATAGACAGATACGCAATCCATTAGAGCCCCTATAGTTTTTAGAGAGTTCAAAAATAATGAAAAAAGTGAAAATATCGTGTTTTGGTTATCAATCGATCAACTTATATAATATATCAGTAACCACTTTTAATTAATTAATTATCTCACATTATTCTTGATCCAGTCAGTTAAGAGATAGAGAATAACTAATTGTTATAGAGTTGTAGATTGAGCCTTTGTTCTTGTGTGGTCCACTTATTATGATCCACACAAGATCATAAAAACTAATTTATTTAGGCTTAATTAATTAATATAAATTCATAATATTTATAAATATTCTAATAAGAAGAGAGCCAAGTTCTAGAAAGTTAGGTTTGGTTAATTATGTAAAACCAGAAAGCTTTTTTCTCTTTGGGGGGGGGGGAAGAGCATTAATATTGGAATAAAGTGTGAAACGGTTGGATAATGCTCAATTATGATTTATTTATTTATTAGATTTTTTGTTCAAACATCTATTTATTTAAGAGCAAAGGTGCAAATTTGATTATTAATTATTTTTTCAAAAGCAATAAATAGCTTATACTATTAGGTAATGTGAAATAAATTCTCAACTTTTAAAAATGAGCATCCGATAGTCCACTATTAATTTCACTTGATAGACCTTATGTGGGCCCATAAATAACACGTGGCACTCTATTTTAGTATGTGTAAATGTGTAAATTTAGCTATGAATTATTTTTCAAGGAGCATTAGATAAATTCTACTATAAAAAATAGACTATCCAATATTTTCCCATTAATTTTGACCAAACACTATTTGTTTTCAAACTCATGAGACTCGTAACGTGTCAATCTCTCAAATCTGCCTTCGTTCTCGATCTCAACTCAAGAAGAATAAGTTCAAAGAGTTTTCATCTGAAAACATTCACAAGGATAATACTAATAAAGTAGAAGCTTGACTTTACTATACGTGAGAAAAGCTTGATTCTAACCTAATTTAGTCAAGAATTATTTTTCTACTTCATTGGCATCGTTTTCATGAATATCTTCATATAAGAACTCTTTAAATCTCTTTTTTTCGAGTTGAGATTGAAAATAAAAGTATTAAGATTGTAGATATTGATGCATTGTGGGTTCTATAAGTTTGAAAATAAAAGTATTTGGTGAAAATTAATGGAAAGATGTTGTATAATCAATATTTTATAATAGAGGTTACCTAATACTCTTCAAAAAATAATTCGTGATAAAATTTACACCTTTACACATGCTAAGATGGAGTGTTTTTGTAAGCCTCACATAATATCCGTCAAGTGAAATTAACAGTGAGTTATTGAATGTTCTATTTTTATAAGTTGATAATTTATTTAATATCACTTAATATTATAAGCTGTCTAATACTTTTTAAAAAATAATTATTGATCAAATTTACACCTTTACTTTCCATTTAAAATACGTAGATTAGAAGAAGTAATAAAATATGCATGTGTAGGAAAGGGGGAATCAAGAATTATGAAGGGGGAATTGAGTTCGCGGGGCCCATGGCTGAGACAGGTGAAACGACTGCCCCAGATGGAACCTGGGAGGCCAAGGAGGGCGGTCCAATCTGGTTGCTGCTTCTTCTTCTTCTTTAACCGACACGTGGATGTTTCTTCTTCTCCTTCTCCTCCTCCTCCTTCGACACGAACGTTGAATCTCTCGAACTCCGACCAGCGCATGCCTCGCACACGCCTTCTGACTGCCTCATCTATTATACTATTCTTTTGCCAAAATGACCATTAAGAACCCAGGATTATTAATTACAATTACAGATTTCAAATTATTGAAATTTTAATAATGGACCACATCCTTATTTAGAATTAAAAACATATAGGAGCTTACAAAATTACTTTCACTTAAAAAATTAAAAAAAAACTACTAAAATTATTATAATGGATTGGAATTATTATTAATTTTAGTTGAGAAAATCATGATACACACTTTAAAAAGTTACTTCTTAATATAAAATTAAAATTCACTTGTAAAGCTTTCAAAAGGCACTTATAAATATATAATAATTATTTAAAAATTCATCAAAATTACTTTTGAATATGAAATCAATCACTTGTAAATTTTTATACTTGTCAATTCATAGGTAAACTTCTTGAAAAATAAGAAATGATATTATTGAAATTACTATTATGGGTTATTAATCTCACTCCTAAATGTAAATCTTGATTTTTTTCAATTAAGATTAACAATAATCTCAACTCATAACAGTAATGTCAATATTCAAAAGCAATTTTGCAAACTTATCCATGTTTTTAAATCTAAGTAAAAACTATGATCCATTATTATGATTTCAATAATTTGAAATCCTAATTGCAATTAATGATCTTATAGAGTTTTTAATTGTCATTTTATCTTCCTTCACCAAATGTTCTAGGATTTCTAGCATATTTTGGCTCTGCGTGTTTAGCAGAATTCGGAGATGGTGATAGGTACATTATGAAGGACTTTAATTTTGAAAACAAGAACTTTTATAAAAATAACTGACAATAATTTATAAGTATAAAATCTATACATGATAAGAATGACCGTCTTTAACATCAAGCATTTCCTGAAAATTGTGTAAAAACGCGGGGATTAATGTTGTGGAGCTAATTAATGTGATCTCTTGAAGCAAGACATCAAACTGTTTTTATTATTGAATTGTAATTTTTATAAAAGAAAAAGACTTCTCACAAAAGGAGCAACAGCTTTGATTTAATCTTACAATAAGGTCACATTTGATTATTAGAATGAAATGGAATGAAATAAATTAAAAAAATTAAGATAAAAATAAATTAAATCACCACTCTCCTATGGTAAACATGATAAAAATTTATTAATATATACTATAAATATAGAAATCATCATACCTCAAAAAAATTCATGAATCATGATTCCCAACATTATAAACTAAATTATCCCCTCTTATGAATATGCTTACTTATCCTTTTTTATTATCTTATTTTTACCTTTATTTTTTTAATCTATTCCATTTCATTTTTTTTCCTAGTAAACAAACATGACCTAAAAGATTCAACTTGGTTTAAATAATTAATATCAGGTTTAAATACTCTAAACAATCCCCTTAATTCTATTTAAGTCAATGGGTTTGGACTCATAACTTATATGGACTAAAAATTATCATCCCCATTTAGACCCTGACTTAAATCTTTGAAACAATGGAAGAGGAATGGA